TACACTAAAGCACATCATAATAAAATGCCAAAGATTAAAGATAGAGAATCTTAAAAGCAGCAAGAGGAAAGCAGAGTTACTTCAAAGGAGTTGCCATAAGACTATCAGCTGATTTCTTAAAAGAAACCTTGCAGGCAAGAAGGGGCCAGCAAGAAGTATTCAAAGTCAGGAAAGGCAAGGACTTATATCAAAGATTACTCTGTCTAGCAAAGCTATCATTTAGCATGAAAAGGCACAAAAAATGCTTCCCAGATAAGGTAATGTTAAAGGGACTTATTTAAGAGAAAGAAGAAGATCAAAACTATGAACATGAAAATGGCAACGAATTCACAACTATCAACAACTGAATTTGGAAAAAAACCCCCCACAAACTAAGCAAACAACCAGAACAGGAACAGAATCATAGACAGGGAGATAATTTGGAGAGTTATCAGCTGGGAGGCGGAAAGGAAGAATGAGGGAAAAGGTGCGGGGATTAAGAAGTATAATTGATAGGTGCAAAACAGACAAGGGGATGTTAAGAATAGGATAGGAAATAGAGAAGCCAAAGAACTTACATGCACAACCGATGGACATGAACTAAAGGCGGGGATTGCTGGAGTGAAGAGGGGTACCAGGCAGATGGGAGCAAAGGCGGAAAAACTGGGACAACTGTAATTGTATAATTAATAAAATATATTTTTTAAAAATGTTAGGGAGTAGGAAAATGATATAGGTCAGAAACTCTGATCTATATTAACAGGGAAGAATGTCAGAGAAAGAATAAATAAAGAATAAAACTAATTTTCCCTTCAATTGATCTAAAAGAGAACTGTTTAATAATAGTAACAATGTATTGAGTGATTACACCAAATGGATAAGTGAAATGAATGATAGCAATGTTGTAAGGGATAAGAGGGAGAAATTAGTAATACTTTGTTAAAAGGTACCTACAGTACCTTTGTGGTGCAAGTGTTATTTGAGGTTGACTTGATTTCCAATATCAGTCTCCAACAAAAGGGGCCAGCAGTCTTTGGAGAAATAGCTCATTCCGAGACTGGGGCTGAAAACACACAAGGCGAGTCTGGAGCATTTGTTAACAGAAAGTGCTGGAAAACCAAAAAGTCCACATGATGGTGGTATGCAAAGGAATACAGGAAGCAACAGGAAGAGCTCACAGTGGCCAAAGCTAGGACCATTTGAGCAGCAAAATAAAGTAATACTGGATTATAAACCCAAGTATAAAATAAATGTCTTTTGAGTATGTACTGATATAAATAAATGATTTTAAGTGAATGGATGAAGAAACAAATCTCCCATGCAAAAAATACCAAATAATTTATGTAGTTATTCTTCCCTAAAGGAGGTGGATTGTGACTCCCTATTCCTTATAAGGACTTCTTTCCAAATGGTACAATATTGAAAATACGATAAGGCAGGCAATTTTACAGTGGAGAAACCTGGCAAACGCTACCTCCACCAAGTGCCCAAGGCTAACATCAACCTGTAGTAAGTCATGTTGATAGTATGTACATGTGATATGACATGGTGACAATGGCATGTTATTACCTCTATGCTCATCCTCCCGAGAATCTCAGACCCCAGTGTAATCTGAAAAACATCAAACAAATCCAAAGTGAGGGAAATTTTACAAAATACCCAGTCAGTACTCCTCAAAACTACTGAGGTCATCAAAATAAGGAAAGTCTAAGAAACTGTCACATCCAAAAAAAGCCTATGGAGACATGACAAATGTATGGTCGGATCCTGGATGAGATTGGATGCTGAGTAAAACTAAGGAACTCTAAAATATGGATTTTGGTTAAGAATAACATGTCAATATCCGTTCATTAATTGTAACAAATGTACCATACTAAGTTGTTAATAATAGGGAAAACTGGGTATAAGATACATGGAAACTCCCTGCACTACCTTTTCATAATATTTCTGTGGATCTAAATTTGTTCTAAAATTAAGTTTATTTAAAAATAAATAACTAAAACAATATTTTCTTCTGACCTACCCGCCCACCTTTGATAATGAGCCTGGAATGAAATCCCAAACTGTCTTCCTTTCCCCAACTAGACAGTTCAAGGTGGAAAATAGTATGCCTTTTCCTGGTCGCTATGGCTGGCCATCGATCCATTTATTCATCTATCCACCCACCCATCCATCTACAATGTATTTATTGAGCTTCTCATGTGCGTCATACTCTAGGGACATGCATAAGAAAGATATAGCACCTGCCCTCTGATGTGCTTATAATACAGTCAAGAAGGGAAGACAGATAAATAATGTGTAGGCCACCGTTACTACTCCTGGACTACTGTTGCTGCCATGGTAGGTGTTCTGCTCTGCTCCTCCCAAATATATCAGGAGAGCCTCCTCTCTGACCCCTCCTCCAAATTCTTGCTTCTTGTGGTTAACTTTAGATGGTGTGATTTTTAAATGACCATACCTTTTATTTAGGCCTCTAAATGTGGTCTCTGTCTTTCATATCAATAATCATCTTTTCCAAGGTGCTTAAAAGAATTCAGATGATGTCCAGTGTTGTACCTAAAAGCCTTCTTGTGAATCCCAGCACTGTCACATATTAGCAAACACATTTTGGGCTCATTGTGAATTATTTTAGGGTGTTCCCCTTACATCTATTTGGAGGCTTTGATCTGTTCTTTTGATTGTCTTCTGATGTCATAGATGCTAGGTTCTGTGGTCATTCATTCATTCATTCATTTATTAATCAATGTAGCATTTGCATTTTGCACTTGCTATTTCCCTGCTTGTGAGGTTCTTTTTACAGATTCCCTTTATTTACTCTTTGAATATCTCTCATCAGAGATGTCCTTTAGATTCTATTTAAGTATAGCTACCTCTCCCCAAACCATCACTCTCTTTACTTTTCTTATTTTACTTCATAGCACTTATCTTCACCTGGCTTTTGTTATATATTTGTTTGTTTATTGTGTTTCTCTTCTAGAAATTCTCAGTAAGGCTGGAACTTTGTTTTGTTTAGTGGTCTATTCGCAGCATCTAAAACAGCCTAACAGGGGTGTCGAAACTTTTAGCATCTCTGGGCTACACTGAAAGAAGTAGTCTTGGGCCACACATTAAATACACAAACACTAATAAAAACTGATTAGCAAAAAAAAGGTTTTAAGTAAATTTGTGGTTTTGTGTTGGACTGCATTCATAGCCATCCTGGGCTGCAGGTGGCCTACAAGTTGTGGGTTGGACATCCCTGGTAGAACGTAGTAAGCACTTAGTAAATATTTGTTGAATTGCAGGCATGACAGGTATGTCTTCATTTCGCCCAAATGGGCCTACCTACAGACTGAAGGAAAAGAAGGCTTCCATTGACCTGTCAATATGTCAGAATTCCTATGGTATTTCTACAGATTGCAAGCCTACCTAGATTTTTGCTCCAGTCATATTTGTATAATGTTTGACAGTTTTCAGAGTGCTTTCACATTAGATTGTCTCTTTTGATTCCTTGGATAACACTATGAAGCCAGTAAGAATTTTCAGATCTATTTTACACATGAGAGCTATTGGGAGATGGAATTTGCGAGGTATTTCGGAGCCAGAGCTAGAAACCATATCTGCTGACTTTTAGCTCATCAAGTGATTACCCAGAATTATGCCTCATCTCCACATTGAATGTATATAGTTTTGAGGGCAAGGGTTTTAGTTACTTGTTTTTATATTTTTGACGGTGCTTTACACACATTGCACTTACTAAAGATGTATTGATTTGAACTTTTCAATCCACAGAATCGTCATGGAAGTATCTTTTCCATCTGAAACTAGAGAGGGAAGTTTTGGCCACTCCTTTCCTCCACTTGCATCGACCCCTTCTTGGATAGACATTGAGAGAATCAGAGATTTGCCTTACCCATGCGTCCACAGACTCGGTGGGCCAGGGCTGTGGATTTGCGTAGGAATCAGCTAGGAACCTTGCTGATATTCAGATTCAGATTCAGTTGGTCTAGTGCAGGGCCTGAGAAGTCTGCATTTTTAACAAGCCCCCTGGCAGTGCCTGTGCTGCTGGTCTGTGATCACACTTTGAGTATTTTGGGAATAGGTCACCACATGAAAGGCAGAAATTCCATTTGGCTGCCTGACCATGTGACTGTGGGTAAGTTCCTCAGAGACACTGTAGCATATTGGGTAAGCTACATTGCTTTGGTTAAAATTCTCCCTCCTCTGCTTCCTATGTAACCTCAAGCAAGGTACTTAACTTTTTGGGCCTCAATTTCCTCTTTAAAAACGGGATCGTTTTAGTACTTAACTTTTGTCATGAGGATTGACTGAGTTGATCCTTTTGGAGCACCTACAGTAGTGCACAGTGCATCACCCGCAGGGAATGTTAACTGCTGTTATTGTTTCTTTGTCTCCTTGTGTTATTCTGTTAAACATCCATAGGTATAAGATATATTTGAGAGACAGGAAGTTGTTTAAAATATTTGCGACTTATGAAATAGCAGGGTGCCTGTCATGAAAACTCTAATCTGGTTAGAAGACAGCGCTTTTATTAACAAACAAGTCAGTGGCGATCAGCGAATGTGGGTTCGTCTGTGCTGTCACAGCTGTACCGCGAACTTTCTAGCAAGCATAAGGAAGTGAGGGGAAAATGAGTTGGCACGCCAGTTTTGTAGTAAAGTGTTATATGATGTTAAGCAGAGGGACTAAAATTGTTTTATTCATCTTAGTTATGCCTTAAATAAACCAACTTGATTTTAATTGGTGATATGGAAATATAGAGGCAAGAGCCCCAGGGGTTCGTGAGAATCCATCTGGTGCTTAATTTAATTCATCTTATAATAAGGAGAAGAAAAAGTATGGAAAGAATTATTTTTAAAAGAATATACATATCTTTTTAAAAAAGTTTTTCAACTAATTCATGAAAAATACTGTTGTGTTCCTCAGGGGAAAAATGTCCGTTACTCGTTTCTTCCATTGACTCAAAAGTGTAAAAAATAAGCCTTTAAATTAACATACAGTGTTTCTTCCTTTTGTTTTAGGATCAGATTTTATTAAGACTTCTACTGGAAAAGAAACAGTAAATGCCACCTTCCCAGTAGCTATAGTAATGCTACGGGCCATTAGAGATTTCTTCTGGAAAACTGGAAACAAGGTATTTTATTGCTAGCAAATCTGTCTTCAAAGTATAGATAATGTTATTTATGGTACTAGTCAGAGCCAAGATAACTGTCTTTATATGCAGAAGGTGTGAATGAGTTACCCTTATTAAGATAAATGTTTAATTTACCTTTCATTACAAAAGAACACATTCATGGAGAAAAATGTGTGATTAACAGAAAATAAGTGTGAGTGTGGGAGTAAGTATGTGTGATCAACATGTAAACTTACTTTATGTTTTTTTATTAACTGAAGACAATTTTATCACTGACAAGAAATTCCTAAATGGGTTCTTTAATGAACTAATTCTGCTGCAACACAGAGGCTTTCTGGTAAGGCGTTGGCCAGCGAAAACAGGTTAATGCAGAAATTAAACTTCCTTGAGGAATGGAAAGAATTGCAGAGTAACATTTATTGAATGATAAGCTGTGGTGGTGATATGAAAAGTATGCAATATAATGGGAAATAATCTTTTCCTGTCATTATTGAAGGACACACATAAATTGGTTTTTCTGTTGGGAAACCCCCGGTCCAGAAAAACTTATTACTTTTAATAATATGAGGTGAAGAGAAAATTCTTGAGGAGATGAACTTATTAAACAAAATAATGAAATGCTGTGAAACAGCAGGGAAAAGGTAGCTAGACGTTATATAGCTCTTGAATTAAATATCCATTTTTGCGTTTTATGGCAGTTAGATGTGCTCTTTGGAAGACTGTTAAGCTGAGGAGGGTGTATGCTAGCTTTTGTCAGCTTTTCGAAAAATAATACATATTTTTTGAAACATGAAGTTAAAAGAAAAAATGCGTATGAGGTGTTTTTTAAAATGAGTTTGGATTTCCCTTTTTCACTTCAAGTTGCTTGTTTAGTTGCAAATTATCTCAAAGAATTTTTTTTTTTTTTTACATTACTGGAGAGAAGGGTAATTTTTTTTTAATGGGACTTTCCCTTCCTCAGAAAACATCTTTTAAAACCAATCTCCTGATTTCTGCCAACTAGAACCCCCCCCAAAAGCCCTTTAATCATTTGCCAACCGGATGTGATGACTTTATATGTGTCCATAGCTTTAGTTTATTTTGGACTTAGAGACCTTTTTTAGAATGTACTAGAATTGAGAGTAAATGAACTCCTTCCAGAATTTTCTTCTTCAGAATAACTTCCTATCTTAAAAAAAAGCATGAATAGGTGTATGTAGGTACCTACTGTGACCTACATAGGAAAGTTAACCCAACTTGAATAACCTCTACTTGGTAACTTTTCTGCAGTGATCCAACTTAAAAAAAAATTTAAGTAAAGCTATAAAAAATGGGAGAACTCTATCTTTGGCACCCCCCTCTCACAACTGAGTGAGTGGGCCCATCACTTACTAGACCAGAGCTTCTTATTCTCAGCCCATGAACATACAAATAGATGTGAAGCTTTTTATCTGTATGGAGGCCTGGGCCCTCATTCCTGCAGTTCTGGGTCCAGGGTAGACCTCAGGCATCTCCACATTTCATAACCTCCGTAGTTGGCACTAAAACTCTCCTTTGGGAACCCAATCCTTTTTTAGTTTCAACAACCATTTCTTGAGTCATTAACTATGTGCCATGTTAACCTATCTTATATGCTAAGGACACAAAAATGAACAAGTCTCTTCCCCGGGGATCCCTTAGACAACCAGCAAATAATTTCAATAAAAGTTTTAAAGGCTTAATGTTCTAGACCAGTATAGAGAGTGAAAGACATTTTGCTGTCTTTCAGCACTTTATTTTTTAATTGTGTTGACCCTTTCCTCAGCTAATAAGCAAAGGTCATGCCAGTTTCATTAGGATATGGACAGGTATGAGTCAAACTATATTCATGTTGATCACATTTAATTTTACACGGTAAGGTGCTCTATGTGTATCTGGCAAATCAGGCACATCCTTGCAGGTTGTTGCCTGGGCAGCCCTCCCTTAGACTGTAAAGTTTCTACATCATTGATTTAAGGGGCGTTTTAAAATGTGATCAGCTGCCTTCCAGACCATGATTAGTGTCACTCCTGAGAAGCAGAGGTTTAATATTTCATAACTAATTTCATTGCGGATTTATGTTTTCCATATTCTGTCCCTTAAAAAAGTACACTTATGCTAGAACTTCTCTTTAGAACTGTTGCTAAACAGACTGGCTGACACAACTGAATCATATAGAAAAATCTTTATTGCAGAACTGCCTCAATGATAGAAATGCTCCTGGGATTAACATGTGTGCTAGTATCAGCTAATATTTTTTTTTTTTGGTTCTTAATAAATAACCGCATCTCCTTTATCTTCCACACCCCACCCCCCTGCCCCAACTCCCCTCACTTTTACAGAGTCACTTGGGTTCTAGAGCAATAGACCGACATTGTTAGACTCTCTGTACAGCTGCTGCTTAGCTATATGATGTTGTGTGATTGAGGCAGGGACACCAGTTGGGAGGTCTTTACTGATAATCCTTGTGAGAATTGTTGAGAAGCTAAACTAAAACAGTGGAAGTGAGAGTAGAGAGGAAAGTGTGCATGGGGCATATAGAAGTGAAGAAGGTAGGGCTTGACTGCTGATCAATTGAGTGGGGTGTGGTGAGGAAAATGGTAGAGTCCAAATTAACTATGAGGTCTCTAGCTTGGGTTGATAGTGGGACCTTTCATTTATTATTGTGTCCCTTCTCTAGAATTCTGTTAGCAGTCACCCTCTGATGATGCTGCCTATGAAACCATTAGTTCTGAGTGGTCAAGTGCATGAGCTTAAGTGTTTGGGCCATAGGGTGTTTTCTTTATTGCTCCTATCTATAGAGTCTCTATTCTCCTGTATGGTCAAGTTCTTGAGACAAGTAAATTCAGATAAGCAGATTTTACTGTATATAAAACATACTTACCCTTTTCTAATGGATTCAGGGACATCATTTGTAAACATCAGATATTGGTTTAGTGTGTTGGTTTATGGATACCCTAAACAACTGCTAAAGTGTGGAGAGCCCCTACCCTGTCTTTTTCTACTGTGCTTATTTGGCCGGCGTGGCTGCTTTGTACAAGGCTTGTCCAGAAGGTATCCAGCCTTATAATACGAAAAATAGAGACATGTATTGAAGAAGATACAAGAAACATTGTACATAGAACGATTACGCCTCAGTCCCCTTCAAACTAGGCACCTTGGGACCTCACACAGTTCTCCTAGCCACCATCAGATGCCCTGTCATATTTTCCTGAATCTTACCGACAGTCTGAAATTTCTTCTCTTTCAAAGGTGATTTTAGTTTGGGGGAAAGCCAAAAGCCACAGTGCACCAAATCTGGGCTGTAGTGGGGCCGAGTCACCTGGGTGATTGGATGTTTTGTCAAAAAACTCTGCATGAGAGGTGATGCATGTATGGTGCATTGTCCTGATGAAGCTGCCAATCACCAGTTGCCCATAGCTGTGGCCTTTTGAGTTTTTTGGATAATTTCCACAGAGGAATATTCAAGCTTAATGCAAAATCTGATGTAGATTCATCGCTCTTCTCGTTCAGCCATTTTGAATGCTGTTGCCGCATAGTACACATGCTCACTCAATGGCATCTATCTCCTCCACTGACTAGTACAGTGAAGTTGTCATTGTCCATGCATGCACATTCCAGTCTACTCTCTTTGGCTGCCAGGTTTCATTGATATTGTGCAAACCATTCTTGTTATATTAACAATGGCTGGACTTTCCTTTCCAGACAGAACTTGTATAACTCTGCCTACTTACAACTCAGGGGAAGAAAGTCCCTGCAGTTAAGCTGATGAAACAATTGTCAACCCTCCTTGCTGATTTTTGCCAGTTTGGTTGGTGTGACCTCGCTCATTTGCTCCTCTGGTTTTAAATACACTTAAGCATCTTTGGCACCTCAAGAGGAAGGGCTGAAAGGTGTCTATACAGGCTTACTTGTAGAAATATAGAATGAATGGGTTTTTGTGATATGTTTTCCTTTTTACTGACACTTTCTTTTTGTTTGTTTATCCCAGGTTCACAGCTGTAGTCTAAATGTTTGAGGTTTACAACTTTACAATAAGTGAAGTGTTAATGAAGGTTATTCACTCATTAGTCTCCTCAGAAGCAGTGACATTCTTCCCATTAATCTTGAGAAAGTCATTTTGTAGTGTGAATGGGTGTGAGTCAGTGATCTAAGCTCTTTTGCTGGGTGAACTGAAATAGAAGGAAAAAGGAGAGTGAAAGAATCGAGACTTGTATTAATGCAGTCCCATTTTCAAAAGTAATCCAGTAACAACAAACATTGTTCCCTTTCCCACCTTCCCTTTCAGATAGGCTTTAAACCCGCAGGAGGCATCCGCACTGCGAAGGATTCCCTTGCTTGGCTGTCTCTCGTAAAGGAGGAGCTAGGGGATGAGTGGCTGAAGCCAGAGCTCTTCCGAATAGGTGCCAGTGCTCTGCTTTTGGACATCGAAAGGCAGGTGAGTGATAACCCATTGTCCTTGGAAAAAGCTGACAAGTGTTTTTGTGAAAGAAACGAAAAGTCACCTATAGGTCTATAAGAACTAGAATTGAAAACTCCTCTGATTTACATCATCGTACCCAAATCCCTGCCTTCTTCTGAGCAAACCTGCTCCTTCCTGAAGTAGGTTGGATGGAGATTTTGCTGAACTGCATAAAAGTAGGGCTTTATAATGAAATGTTAATTAAAATTATTAATTATTATATAATAGTATAATTATGAACCATTGATTAAAATTATTAATTATTATATAATAGTGTAATTATTAATTGATATGTATAATAATATAATAATTACTAATTAACGAAATTGCTTTCCTCACAGATTTATCATCACGTGACTGGAAGATATGCAGCCTATCATGATCTTCCAATGCCTTAAATCAGCAACAAATTCCAGAGTTTGTTTTTTTACAATGTTTAAAAATTATTTTTCTACATAATTTCTAAAATTACTTCATTAAAAAATGAGGGAACAGGAAACTGTCTTTTTTCCCTTAAAATTTTCATTGACTGTAATTCAAAGAATGAAAGAAAAATATCAGCTATTCCACACATGGTACTCATTTCAGGCACAGGTGAAATGGTCTTAATTACTAGATCTGCACTGTTAATTTTGTGAAGGTTTTCTCTTAAAAACTCTGAGTAATATGTTAACGATAGCTTTGACAACATTAAATTTGAAGGGAAAAAGCGTTAAACTGCCCAAGAAACATTCTCTAGCAAAAGAAAATGCAGCATCCTGACCTGCCGCTGCACTCAAACAACTTTGGGAGTCACTAACTAGGCACTAATTTCCTAATGTGAAAATCCACCTTTAATTTTTGCTACAGATATGCTCTTTTATTAATTGTTTTGTTAATGAAGTTTCTGTCATATACAAAACTATGGATATCAATGTATGTTTTAAATAAAAACAAACAAACCCTTGCAGTTGCTTATTTTTTTAACTTTTAATTGCAATAGTACATATTGAAAAATTAATCCATGAAACATATAAAGAGGCTTTATTAATGATTTTCTGAATCCTGAATCTTTAGTAGGCTCCTTGGGCATTTATCTTAGGTAAAGCACCCCCTCCCAGCACATTATTAGTGAATACAATTTATGTACATATTCTGAAACTTTGATGATTTTTCTGGTATAGCGAATAGGGGTAAAAGAGCAGACAATAATATAGCACAATAAGTGCTAAACCCTACACATCACTTTATTTAATCCTTGTTTAATCTCTTCAACAGTTATGTAAGTATATTAAGGTTTAAATCCTTTCCGAATGAATACTGATGTTAGCATCCTTTTATAGAGAGGAGGGACTGAGGCACTGAGAACTTAAGTAAGTTGCCAAAGGTCACAGAGCTTAAAATTAGCAGGCCGGGATCACTCCCGGCAGGCAGTACGGCTCCGGAGTCTGCGGCGTCACTCCCGTGTATAACTGCCCCTCCGCCCACACAGTCACAGAAACAGAGCTCACTGTCAGCGATGCAGAATGACGGTCTGCACTGTCGTCTACTGGCTCCTTCACCCACTGAGTCCTCTGTCAACTTTACACCCCCTTCTGTTTTGCTTGCTAGCACCTTTACCACATTATAGAACCTACTTGTTCTTAAATTGTGATTTTTTTAACGGAATCTTTTCCTTCCTGAATGAACCTCCAGCTACTCATAAGTAAGCGATGCTAGGCTGGGAGTCCGTTGTTTTTGCATCTCTCCTCTGCCGAATTCTGGCCCAGCCTCTTCCTCTCTCTAGCTCTGTGACCTCAGTCCAGTCAGTTCACCTCTCTGGACCTCAGTTTCTTCATCTGTAAAATGAAGGGGTTGAAGCAGGTGATATCATGGTGCTTTCAGCCCTAGAATTATACCACCCTAAGGATAATTATAACAAACCCAAGAAAATGTTTCATGGCTATCAAGAGAAAAATTTATTGTAGCAATCTATATTAGAATTTGCCTCTCAGGAGTCAGTTAGGCACATCCCTCAAAGCACCTCTCTAAATAAGTGAAGCGACTAAAATAAGATGGAAAAGTAATCCTGTTTTTATCCAACACCTAGCAGAAAGCTGACTTTTGACTTATGCCTTTAGATATGGTCTGTGGCTCCAAATGCTATATCCCCCTTCATAACATGCTGGCCCAGGTGCCCACCAGCTCAGTGGCCAGTCACCTTTGGAGAAGAAACTTTATAGTAAATAATTACATTCTAACACCTTTGAAGCTATTCCAATTTCACAGGGGTTTCTGTTTTCCTCCTATTAGACCCAGCTGGTCATTTTAGTTGATCAAGTGAACAGGCATCATTATCTTCAATTCTAATTCATATGAGGCATCCACTGAAATTGACCTCTGTGGACAATTATAGATTCACATAGGAAATTAAGACTGGTGAGTCCCTCAAACCTATTAGAGACTGATGAACATGGCTTGATCTAAAGGTAGATAATCTTGTATTTTAGGGGGACAGCTTATTCCAAGGACTATTGGCCTCTTCATCGGGAATGTCTGCACCTTACCTGGGTCTTGAAATGAAATGTAACCAAGATGACTAATAGGAAGCCCCCAGTAAATGCTGATTGCTATGAGAGCATACGAGGAAGAGGTCACTTTTGAGGTGACTGATTTACTACAGGCAGATTTGTCTACTTGAGAACCCTGGGATCAGATGCTTTATGCAATCAGAAAATGAGTTCTGCTGTGTTGTGCTTAAAGCTTCTAAGTCAATAAAAGCAATCTCCCTGAAAATTGTCACAATTGTTCAATAAAGCATATTAAGTTTTAAAGTTATTTTAAAACAACCAATCATAAAGTTTAGGGGCTTAAAGTGACTTTAGGGAGTATATAGTTCTTTCCATCACTTTTTACATGAGAAAAGACACTTTTGCAAGGTCCCATAGAAAGTCATAGCTGAGCACATAACCTAGATCCACATCATGCCATGAGATATTCTACAAGACATAGCCAGTACTTTGGAATTGAAAGTGTCTTAATTTTTTTATAAATCCTGCCATACTTAATATGTTTGTCAGCATGTGAACTTTAGACTTTGAAAAGACTCACTTTTGCCTTCTAAGTAGTGTTTTGGCAAAGACCAACCATCTAAATGTAACCCAAGTGATAATGCTGTTAACTTTATCTGTTAGACTTTCAGAATTTTTGGTGACCTCAAGAACTGAATTTTTTTTTAAAGGAAGTTCGATGTTTCTTTTAAGAAAAAAAAGGGGGACTTATTTGGATTCTAGTTTGTCTACAAGGAGAGAAAATGGCTAGTGTAATAACAAAACAATTTCATAAGTTGAGTATCATTCTCTCACTGTGGATTATTTTATCACTAATGGGAAATTTAGGCAAATTAGTTTGTATGAAATTCAGCATCTGAGGAGAACTAAGCAAAGTGGAAACTGTTTCAAATGTCTACTTGGAAGTGCATCCTCATGGGAACACGACATAGTGCCTGTTCAGATGGAGCAGAATAGTTTGCTATGCTATACATATATGTCTTAAACCCAATCTAGAAAAACCATATCAGTTTCTTTGGAAAAATCAACCTGTACTTCTAGTTCAGAAGGAGACCAATGTTAATATTTCTTCCATCAACTTGATCATTTTTTTTAATACAACATAAATGTGGCCAGAGTGCAGAAATAGAAAGAAGAAGAATTTGAATGTACTTTCTAAGGAAACGAAATACTATGCTCATTTTGGCACTATGAAAAAGGTATGAGGTGAAATCAATTTCTGCGGTTGTTTTCCTGATCATGCGCAGGAGTCTTGCCTCCCAAAAGAACACATATATTTTATAACCTCCACCAAATGATCCTTTCCAGAAATGACCACAGGTAACATCTGGCTGATATATAAAATAGGTAGTAAAAATAATCATTTTTAATTAACTAAAACCTGCTTGGGAGAGAGAGTCAGAGGAATAGCCATCTGGTCAGTTCTTAATTTAATAGGACAAATGAGGATCAGAATGTTGATTGCAATATATGTGAACTACTTAGTGACCTTACAATGAACTAAAACTTTTTTTAGGAAGAACAGGTGAGCTGAAGGAATCAGAATCTCTGGAAAGAACGGACATAAAGTTTGATTTTTTTATTTTAAGAAGTATTGATACATCTTGTACTGTAAAACATAGGTAGAATAGAAGCAGTCTAGGTTTTGTGGCATTATTTTCTATGGTTCCTTGACAGAAATGTGTTTGATGGGAGTGCTTAGTTGTGCTGTCAAAGAAAGCAGTGCCCTAACTATTTTCCCAAACTAGTATACAACAGAAGTACTGGGTGAGTTTATAAAACACAGAATTCTGGCCTCACTTCCAGACTTTTCAAATCAGTAAGTCAGCTATGGGGCTCCAGAATTCGTGTGTCCCAGATTTCCACGTCAGTAAGTCAGCTATGGGGCTCCAGAATTCTTGTGTCCCAGAAGTTCCCAATTGATGTTTAATACTATGACCTAGGAACCACACTTTGTGGACCACTCAACTAGAAAGCCTGCACTCAACAGCTAGATTCCAAAGTAAATGCATCTTTCCGTAGTAAAGCCCACCAGCTGCAGCAACTCTTAATCATGAAACTCTAGAATGAATTTGTATATTTTATTGTACTTCATAGCCAAGAACAAGAGACAGAACAATGGAAATGACATTACCTCTTAATCCTTTTACAGTAGGCAGTGAACTTGATTATACTTTGGGCTTAAAAGCAAGCTCTGGAGCCTGGAATAAACATTTCAGGTGGGGTTAGACTCATTATCCCCAAAATCTTCCAAGCCGGCATAGTAAGATCCAGCTGAATGATTTTTTACCTGTTTAGAATGCCTAAACTTTTGGTGATTCCACTGTAATTACACTTAAAACCAAGACCCATTTTAACAGAGCCCATTCTTTAACTTATATTTGAACTAGATAAAAGGTTCTAGAGTAGGGACATTTCACAGATACTTGGCTTCTAAATTTGAAGCTACTATGTAAGGGATCCCCAGGCTGGGGTTAATAAAAACATTGGATCCTTGTTCTTTTTAACACAGAAAGATGTTTGATTGATTGATTGATTTTGTCTTTTTAAGTGTGTGTTCTGCCAGACTATACACAGTCTGGCATGGTTCTTAGTTGCAGATAACAGAACTCCCCTCTACCTAGTTTAAACAGAAAAGAGATTTATTTTTAAAGCGTATTGAGTATCTTACAGAATAGGAAGGCCACATTCTTGGGCACAGAGGCAGCCAGCTAGGAATAACATCCAAACCTCTCTTTAGAACTGCTCCAGGGAAGACCCAGTGCTACCTCCTTTGGGCACTGGATACCCAAATTGGTGCCTTCGCTGCCCTTGCAAGCCGAAACCCTTCTTTGTCGCAGTGGCCAGAGATGGACTCTTCCATTGCTGTCCTGGGTAACAAACACCTGTGTGGCTGGTCTGCTTTGCTGGAGCCTCAGTCACAGGCCAGTGCTCTAGCTATAAAAGATGCGGGGAAAACATGTTTGGCCTTCTGGAGAGAAATGGTGCATGGTATTCAATGGCACATGGTAATGGTAGTTTTCAACTACACTATGACAAGGTGGTACTGGAGTGATCATTCAGACTTTGTGATAGGAAAAGACTCATTGCCCCTTGGCTGTATTTCTACTTCTGGTCAGTCCCTGTAACTGAATTCTACATGTAGCCACCCCTTGTCTCTTGGCTCCATATGACAGGTCTAGAGAAGTCCCCGAAGCCCTTACATTTACACTCGCCAGGGACATAGGGGAGTGCGCCTTCCCCAAAATACTTAAATATCTATATCTCTAGACAGCTATCTATTGACTTCCTACTGGGAATAATGATAAAATTATTTTTTTCCAATTCTTCCCAAACTCACCTTATTCTCGATGATTATATCATTTTTCATATTATATTTTTTAAACTTAGAAATAACTAATATCTCTATT